TGGACCAATGATACCGCACAGTTTTGTCGCTTGTTTTTGCCTGGATGCGCAGACTGGCTGCAGCATTGAAGGTTCGTTCCTGGCGGGAAAGTGAGCTCATCAAAAGCTCTTTCAAACGAGACTAAGATGGCCTCGATCCGATGAGTGGTTAGTGTGACCCGAGCAACGCAAAAGGGGGCTGTTTTTGGCGATTTCGTAAGCGACGCCAAGGGCTGGATTGAATAAACACGACATTTTTTGGCTCAACGACGCGTCCTTTCGAGTTTATTTTTTGCTGACACGTGCGGGATGATATGAAGATAACGAAAATCACGAAACTGAAAAATAGATTTTTTTGGCATTTTTTTCGTCGCCAAGACCCGTGTCCCCCCTTAATAGCATTTGGCAACAAAAGTTTCAACAAAGCTTTCTGATAAACGATTTTTTTTAATGGCCGAGAATATCCTCTGCTGGCTTATTTTTTGCTCTCTGGCATAACAGTAGAGTCGTAAAAGCAAGAATTTATTCTTTATTCAAAAAAAACCTTACAGGCCCCAGAACAGGGCATTGGGTAAGGGGGGGAGGAATCGGAATGGTACAGACAGGTAACGTTTACAGGCAGGATCAGTGCAAAAACAACAAAAAACTATATATATATATAAATGAGATCTCATTTTAGGCTATACAGGGCGAGGTAAATTTGAGGGAATACAGCACTTGTTGATATGAACATGGCGACAGAGGGATACATTTTAAAATAAAAGACAAGGGGAATATAAAGCACCGTTACGCAATGCACTCAGAATACAAAAACAGGGTCACATGGTGAACAGAGTGAGTAGCTGACGGCGAAATGTATCGGGATTAGATATGGAGGCTATGCACTCAGGGAGGTCATTCCAAAGACGAACGGCCCGAGGCAGTGGTGATGAATTGAATGCATTAGTTGACCCGTATATGCGCATGAAGCTGAACTGATTATGCAATATGCGTGAAAAAGAGTGAGGTGTTTGAAGCTGAAGCCGCGTTCGTTTATTAGAGGTAATATATTTCTGGAACAGACAGAGAAGAGCAATACTGCGACGGCTATCTAATGACGGCAGCTGAAGGTCTGATTTAATTTGCGTTATGTTTGACGTGATGTCGTAGTTTCGTGATATGAAGCGGGCACCTCTATTTTGAATCCTTTCTACCATAATAATCAAGTAGTTTTGATGAGGAGACCAAATTGCTGAGGCGAATTCTAATACTGGCAGAATAAAGGTAAGAAAGGCTAGTTTTCGAATATTAGTAGGGGAATTTCTCAAGTTGCGACGTAGGTAGCCCAGTGAACGTGATGCTTTGGCACAGGTAGACTCGATATGTGAGGCCCATGAAAGATTCTCTGTGAGAAGAACACCTAGGTATTTGTAGGAAGAAGTGTGGGAAAGCATGGTATTGTTCAAGTAATAGGAGAATTCAGAGCTTACGTGTTTACGGGTGAAAGACATTACCTCGCATTTTATAACTCACAATAGTGTGCTGTTAATAAGTATAAATAAACACCAAATTCCTCAGTGCACCATAACTTTAATTCTGATATTCAATTTGCTTTTTCACACCTCTGGCTTGTCATTTGTCTCATATAATATGGTTGTGTGTGCGAAATCTTTCTTCAATTTCATGAAAGGTATATTTTTATGGTTTCTTTTTATGGTTGCATTCATAATGCAAAGGTTTCTTGTTGCCATGGGGAAGCATGCACATAACATTAGGGAGAACAAACAGGCTTGATTGTTGCTAGGTACAATGGCATGTAGCCAAAAAAAATTCATCCAAAGAAAGGTTGGTGTAAAACAAGAAAGTTTATGAGTGGAATTTATGCCTTACAGAGTGGAGCTTTAATTATCATAAGATGGTGGCCAGACAGCCATTTCAGAGAGAGAAAGCAAAATATTGGCATTTAGTGAAGAAAAGAAAGCATTTTTTGCTACATCCTGCAAGCTTAATATGGAAAATTTGGCAGGCAGAATGATCAATCAATGATCAATCATCAATCTCTCGCCTTGCATTACTGATTTTCTTAAGGTGCCTCAGTGCTTTAGCAAAAACTTTGATATCAGGTCATCAATACTCTTCTCCTTAGTGCCAAAAAAATTCAATGGTCCAATTGGAAAAATATCAGTTGGCACCAACTTGAATTTTACGACCACTTGCAACGTACAATAGGGTTGAGAGCTGGGCTAGTTGGTGAGACATCATTTAACCATATGGTGTAGTAGCGCAATTTTCACGGGGACGAAGAGGACAAGAACACACGACACTCGCTACACTCGCAACTAATTTTATTTCAGAAGCAGCATATCATATATAACCCATAACCCTAGCGACACAGAAAAGAACTACGAACATTGAATCATTCGTAGTTCTTTTCTGTGTCGCTAGGGTTATGGGTTATATATGATGTGCTGCTTCTGAAATAAAATTAGTTGCGAGTGTAGCGAGTGTCGTGTGTTCTTGTCCTCTTCGTCCCCGTGAAAATTGCGCTACTACACCATATGGTTAAATGATGCAACGTACAAATTACAGCGAATTGGCAAACGAATTCATATCCAATTCGTGAACCATTTCGGCAGAGCTTGGGACTGATTGACTGGCCAGTTGTAGATTGGCGACTTGTTGTTCAACCACTTGAACATGCATAGTCATCCAATTGAAGCTAAGTGGTGCCCAAATGGGTGAACTGGTGCCGAACTGGCAATCCAGTTAATCGTATATAGTCTTTCATCAGAAATGACATTATGTATTTTAAAATCAACCTAATGCTTATAATGACGGACTGAAACAGCCTAATCTCCAAGTGGGCACCACCTGAAAAGCACACATTTTCGAGATAAAGGGTGGGCAAGCGTTGGCTTTACTTTTGCCAGTAAGGCAATGCGAGAGTTTCCACTACAGCATTTTTTAAATCTTCTTGGTTGGAAATTAGTTACCTTAAATGCGGAAAATGCAAACTTAAGTAAATAAGAACGCCAAGCCTGCGTTGAAGGCGCGGCACAGTCACAGTGAAAGCTAGAATAGCGGCCTTTCAGGGCCTTTTCTAAACATTCATTCGGCTGCAAGCACACTTACTGGGTACCCACTTCGGCATTAATAATAATAAATTCTGGGTATTAGGTTGGCATTTGCTGTGCAGCGCTATTCTTCACCAATCTTTTGAGAAGCGTGGTATTCACTTAACACTTGGAAGGAATTTTGTGCCAGTTGTTCTTGCAGTGGCTGAAGAGGACCAGGAATTATGCCTGGAGGGCATGGGTATGCGCCACAGTGAATAGGTGATCAAGAACAAGCTTTTTAATACATTGGAGCGATGGACAACCTAATCATTATGCTATTCACATCGTATGAGCCCTGGTTGTTCCTTTGATTTTCTGAAACGCTTCATTAGTCATATTAATGCAATTCATTTTTTGACATCAAGCCGGCCTGAAGCAAGTTTGCGAACGATTAGTCCCAAGCACCAGCGAGGCTTAGTGGTGGAATACTGGGATGGCACACAGCAGACCCAGGTTCGAGCCCTACTGTGTCTCTGATGTATTCTATTTACTAAGCTTTTTTCCTTATTTCGTGCCTTAGTGGTTACGGACACTGGCGGCGGCAGACAACTACAGCGCCGCGCGTGACCAGAGGTGTGATCTTATAACAGCTTTTGCTGTAAAAGTTTAAAAAGACATGCCAAAGGTGTGAGCTGTGATATTTATTACATTATGTTGGCAATTCTACAGTAGCGGCTGTATTTCCTTCCGTTCTGATTTTCCAATAATTTGTGCTTTGATCTTGCTGTGAAAGTTCTATCATGGCCACGGCTGACACTCCCAGAGCTTACTAAACATAGTCTCGTACAAGTATCTGAAGTTGCTGAATAAATTTGAGTGCCAGAGGAACACAAGTTAAAATGAGACTGTGTTCCTCTTTTTGTTAGCTTAGTCATAAGTGAGTGCACTGGCATGATGGTGACGGCGGCTGAGCCCTCCTGCTTCGCAGCAGCCATGGGCATCGACAGGGAGGTGCAAAAAAGGCACTTGCCCACCTCAAGCTACACAACAGACTCCCCGCCCCCCAAAGCCATACCAATGCCCCCCGCCCCCCCCCCTTCTGTGCCATGATGCAACACGTGTTTGCATCCCTCAAGACAAAATCCTGCTGACGCCTATGGCAGCAGCTGGCCCTAACATACTTTGTGGAGCGAAATTTATAGTGGATGAAAGCATATGCTGCCGGTATTGTTACCACAAAAAAGATTTTCAGGAACGGCCATTGGGTGGAACGGTCATTTGTGCTAATCATTTTTTTTTCTTGAGGTACTATATTGGTATGGGATAACTTGATGACACAGCGTGACAGGCATAAGGCATAGAGTGGGCACAGATATCTGTCCAATGTCTCTTATACAGCACAATCTCGATGATAAGATTATGGCAGTTGTAGACAGATTGCATCGTATAAGACAGGCTCTGATTCAGGCCTTTGCGAACAGGTTCTGTTTTTGTCACGGGTGATACACCTCTGCACAAACCATGGGCATGTGCGAGTGGGTCGGTGGGGCTAGTCTTGGAAGAGAGAAGCACACTGTAGCCACTGGCTCTTCTCTCCAGCTCATGTTTTTCTTCAGCCTCCCGTCTCTGCCAGCCCAGTGGTAGTGAGCAGGGCGGGCTCATCTGTGGCAACTAATGAATTCGGTGTATTAATTTTTCTGTTTTAAAAAAATGCAGCCATGCTTCAGCGCTGACCACGATTCACTTGGGAGTCTGGGACCAATAATGGCTTTGTGCAAACTATGCCTCAGGCTTTAACATTTGATTTGTTAATCACATTGCCTTGCTAAGTGAAATGGGTATGCTGTTTTTGCTGATGAAAAGATTACGTGAACGTAGCCTCGAATATGCTTACAGTATTTTTAGTAAAAGCCTTTGTTTGCTGAATTGAGCTCTAAATGTATCTTCATTGAGACTGCTGGGTTGGTGTTTTCTTTCTGGCTGCAGAACTTCACTGACTTACTGCGGAAGATTCATCGGCAGTGTGAACGGTTTCTGATTCACAATGCCAATCGTGTGGTTCACTGCCAAAGCTGGTCGTCCCTTTCTCCTCAGCTTCAAAAGAAGATCAGGGATGGTAAGTGTCGTGTTAGGGCTGGGAGGGTACAAAGGAAATGTTTCACTCTTAATTATTTGTATCTTGCCACAATGACTGTAAGGAATGTTGAACTTGCCTAATTATCATAGTGGAGGGTTCAAATCTCAAGAAAGAACTGTGTAATTGCAAAGCTGATTATGAGGCTACTATTTTTGCTGGGACAAAAGGAATGTTAGGGCTTAACCAAATAAATTAATTTAATTCCTGGTACTTACTGTACCAATGATATCGATCTTATCACTATCATGATCGTAGTAAGTAGTGAAAATTGCCAAAAATAAAAGACGGCATTTTGAGCATTGTCGATTTATTCATTTCCTTGAGCATTTTCTTGAGCTGCACAACTATTTTCTTTTTTTTTTCTTTTTAATTGAGATTATACTTCTGGCTATTATGGTTTGCGAATTGGTACATTTTTTTAATGAGCCATTATCAGCTGATTGCAAGCTCATACATATTTTCCATTTTGGGCTCTTTAAACGATCTAGAGTGAAATATGGAGATAACTGATTGTTCAAATAGATTTTTGGACTTGATTACTTTCAAGGATTGTGCCCAAAGAATTAGCTGTAACTTTCCACATTTGTTGCTGTCTTAATCATAATTGCTTCAACTTAAATCTAAACATCCAAATGACACTTGAGAAGACAATATTAATTGTCCTTTTGCCAGAAATACTGTTAGTTTTGTAATTAAGGGCTGCAATACTTGGGATAATGCACATGCCAATTTCATCTGGAAAGGCTAAACAAATACAATAAGCACAACATTGCACTAAGGAGTCTGAGCTATACATTGTCCTTTAAAAGGCCATTTCAAACTATGAAATTGTCAGGTAACCTGGACTTGAGATTTATCTAGATCAGCAATTTTAGAAATAAACTGAAAAAAAAAAAAAAGGCTATCAGTGATGTGGAGATCTGAGGCGCGCCTGCGACCATTTCACGGGCATTCCGCCGCACGGCCACACCCTTTTGCTTTTCCTGCTCCGATAACGACGCGTGGCGATAGATGGCGCCACGTGCGGGCACGGTACGCGCGCGCCGAGGGAGCGCTCTCTTGCTCCGTGGTGGGCGCCGGGTAAGCACGTGTTTTCCTTCGTCCGCGTCCCCTTTGGGAATCGCGGACTATAGCTTGCCCGGGGTGGCCTTGGGCACCCCGGCAGGCGTGTTTACTTGAGTGCTGGCTTCGGTAGCGTACGCTAAGCCCAGAGCGGTGCCTAGTGCTTGAAGTGGTCGTACCACAACGAGCCGCACTTGCCGTAGGCCTACGCGTACGAGGTTTGCCCTAACACTCACGACCAGGCCCATTGGCCATCGTGAGAGTGCGCAGCATAGTCGCGAGGGACCTTTTCCCGACCGGCGTGTCAAAGCTCGCCATTGCCAGCTGCGACGTGCTCGCGGTTTCTCCCTTATTGTGAACGTCCGCGTGCGGGTGCCTTTGCTACCCGCGTCCCGGGAGCGGACGTTGTACTGTTGTTCGGGGTGCCGCCAGAGGCAATAAAGTGTTGTGTACTTTTGCATTAGAACACTGTCTATTTGCCGCGCCGCGCTAAACGCCTTATTAGTTGAGCGCGCGCGGAGCGGTGCGCTACACGCGAGTAAACGGAGTAGCGGCCCTGTGACTCGCTAAGCGTGAACTCGCGGTGATCGTCCGCTGCAGTTAGTAGCGGGGTCACCATAGTGTTTAACATAAAGAATGTCATACTAATTACTGTTAGTGACCAATCTTAATTTGTCTTTTCATGTTTCCTAAATAAAAATAATAAAAATGTAACGAGCAAAGTTTATTTTAGCTTGCTAAAAGTATAGGTGGTTTGGGTGACATCTGCTAGTTTTTAGCTATTGTTGGACAAGCTGGGCTAATTGTCGCTGAGCTTATTTTAGAAACACTGTAGAGTTGTTGACCTGAATTTTTCAGGTTGCCTTGTTTGAAATATGATAGGCCACTCGCCTGTCACCTAATTTTGTGTGATAATTCTTTAGTTATCATGGCATAATGATAAATTTGAAGTGAGGTTAATTCCCCGCAGGGGCGCCTGCGCAAGTAGGCGTTTGGTGTGTAGCGACACCACGGACCCGAGCTAACGGGGGAGTTTCAACCCCCTCCCACATTTAGCCGTGCGTGGCTTTGCCGTGTCCGGGGAAAAGGGGATCCTGGGGGTTGAGCCAATGCTGGGTGAATGGACCTTTAAGGCCCCCCAGTGGCGGCAACACACCCCTTTCGCCCCGGCTTTACGTAGACAGCACCCCCGGATTTACCCGCCCGGGGGAATCGGCAGTCGCCTTTTCCTGTCTCCACCTCACATCTTCGTCTTTTCTCTTACTTTAAATCTTCCCTGTACTCTACTCACTTCCATTGACTTCCGTGTTTCCTGGCGGCAACGGTTAACCCTGTGTGGCTTTCCTACCTTAGGTACACCATATTCGGTTATAGTGGTGGCGTACAGCTGGCATCTGCAGGGCCTGTACTTACAGACCCTGCAGCGTCCCCTTGTAGGACTCCATGGAGGGTGGCTGGCGCCGTTGCCGAAAGTAAACATTTACATATGGCTAGTTCCTTCCCCTCACTCCCTGATCACCCTCAGAAAAGAGGGCACACCGATGAAGTCTTCCAGTTCTTTGGTCACCAGAAAGTATTTTTTCCCCGATGCCACATTATCCACGCTGACACACCCGGCAAATCAGTGCGAACACTTTCACCTTTTCTAGTTTCAAAGTCTTTGATTGAAATCTTTGGCCCAGGATATAAAGCATCGTGAATGGCAAGTGGTGACCTCCTGTAGGAGCTCCGCGACCAGAAACAATACGAGAGACTGCTTAATCTAGTGAAATTTGGAGATACCAAAATAATAGTAATCCCACGCCGAACGATGAACACCACCTGGGGCGTTGTTTCAAATGATGACCTGTTAGGGCTGACGGAGGCTGAACTCCTGGAGGGTTTTAGTCAACAGAATGTCATCAACGTGAAACGAATTAGGATGAGGCGTGATGGCAAAGAAGTTCAGACTAAGCACCTGATACTTACTTTCAATTCAAGTGTACTGCCCGACTCCATTGAGGATGGGTACATCAAGCTTCGAGTGAGGCCATAATACCAAACCCTCTCTGTTGTTTCAAATGTCAGAAGTTCGGCCACAGTTCACAGAACTGCCGAGGCTGCCTAACTTGCGCGAAATGCAGTACTGAAGAACACACATCTGATGCCTGTGAAAACTCTCTTCACTGTGCGAACTGTAAAGGGGAGCATGCCGCATACTCACGGTCATGCCCATGCTGGAAAAAAGGAAAGGGAATTGTCACAATCAAAGTAAAACAAAACATTTCATTTAGGGAGGCACGAAGGCAGGTGTCCTACCTACCAGAAACAAGCTTTGCTGAAGTGGCGCGTCAGGGGGCAGCACCAAGCCTGCCCCCGGCGGCTGTCTGGCACACGCGTAGTGAGCCAGCGGTGGTGCCGTTCGCCCCCTCGGCGGTTGCAGCCAGTGCTGCTCCGTCATCCAAGAAAGACCCACCAACCTCCGGGCTGGAGGCCGCGAAGGTCTCGTCTTTTGAGGTGAGGCCCTCAAAACAAACGTGTCCAGCGCCTCGCAAGAGGCGATGGACACAACACCGAGCGTGAGGGCGCAGCCAGCGTCTAAGGATCGGCGCGACTCCGTCGACCGATCCAAAAAAGAAAAATCTTGTGTCATCCCCTGGAAAGGGTCCATGAGCTAACTTTCCATCCTTGAGCACACAGCACAAAACACATCTAAAATGGACACACAGATATAACAGTGGAATGTGAGAGGACTTCTTCATAACCTCGATGATATTAGAGAACTTCTTAATAAACATACTCCAAAGGTGCTGTGTGTTCAGGAAACACACCTCAGATCCACACAAACAAACTTTCTAAAGCAATATGTCATCTTCCGCAAAGACCGTGACGACGCTGCCGCTTCGTCGGGCAGTGTCGCTATAATAGTTGATAAAGGTGTTGCCTGTAAACAATTAAACCTCCGAACTTCTCTTGAGGCAGTTGGTGTCCGAGCAGTGCTGTTCGGGAAGCTACTAACAATTACCTCTATTTACATTCCTCCTTGCTGTCAACTTTCGAAGACATAATTTTAAAGCTTCATTGATGAACTTCCTCCGCCATGTATAGTCGTTGGTGATCTGAATGCACATAATCCCCTATGGGGTGACTCCCGTTTAGATGCGCGAGGACGCCTAATAGAACACTTTCTGTTTTCATCAGGTGTATGTCTACTAAACAAAAAAGAACCAACATATTATAGCACTACACACAACACATACTCTTCTATAGACCTGAGTATTGTCTCGAGTATATTAATTCCATATCTGGAGTGGTTCGTTCTCAAGAACCCCTTTGGGAGTGACCACTTCCCGATTATGTTGAAGTTAACAAAAGAAGATACATGCTCGCCTGACTTTCCTCGTTGGAACACCAAGTCAGCCAACTGGGAACTGTTCCAAGAAATTACATTTTTAGACGCAGATGACATTGCTGATTTTAATATAGATGATGCAGTAGCATACTTAACAGGTTTCATTATTGACACTGCAGTGAAATGTATCAAGCAAACTAACGGAATGACTAATAAGTGTCTCATCTCATGGTGGAACGACGATTGTCGAAAAGCGCGCAATAGACAAAATAAAGCTTGGAGACTACTCCGAAATTACCCAACGGCTGAAAACCTCGTCAATTTCAAACAGGTCAAGTCCCAAGCCAGAAGTACGCGTCGTCTTGCAAAAAAAAAAAGTTAGAATAAGTACATCTCCGGTATAAATTTTTACACCGACGAAACGAAGGTTTGGAATAGGGTAAACAAGTTAATGGGTCGGGAGTCACACTCCCTACCCTTGGTAAGTAGCCGAGGGGAAAGCCTCGAGGAGCAGGCAGACTGCCTAGGTGAACACTTTGAATATGTCTCAAGTGCATCACACTATACAGAAACATTCTTAAGATTC